TACCTACCCCACAACTTCTCCAGCATAAGTTGTCATCAGTGTTTTTGATCTTGGCCATTCTTACAGGTGTAAGATGGAATCTTAGTGTTATTTTGATTTGTATTTCTCTGATGACTAAGGATGTTGAGCATTTCCTTAAGTGTCTTTCAGCTATTTTAGATTCCTCTGCTGAGAGTTCTCTTTTTAGGTCTGTACTGCATTTTTTAAATTGGATTATTTGTTCTTTTTTGGTGAGCAATTTCTTGAGTTCTTTGTATATTTTGGAGATCAGACCTCTGTCTAATGTGGGGTTGGTGAAGATTTTTTCCCATTCTGTAGGCTATTGTTTTGTCTTGTTGACCATGTCCTTTGCTTTACAGAAGATTTTCAGTTTCAGGAGGTCCCATTTATTAATTGTTTCTCTCAGTGTCTGTGCTACTGGGGTTATGTTTAGGAAGTGGCCTCCTGTGCCAATTTGTTCGAGTGTATTTCCCACTTTCTCTTCTATAAGGTTCAGTATGGCTGGCTTTATGTTGAGGTCTTTGATCCATTTGGACTTGAGTTTTGTACACAGTGATAGATAAAGATTTATTTTCATTCTTCTACATGTTGATATCCAGTTATGCCAGCACTATTTGTTATATATTCAACACCATTTGATATTTTTTGCATCTTTGTCAAAAATTAGGTGTTTGAATGAATGTGGATTAATATCCAGGTGTTTGATTCGATTCCATTGGATGGACCTATTTTCATTTTTTCTACATGTGGATATCCAGTTATGCCAGTACCATTTGTTGAATATACTTTCTCTTTTCCATTTTATATTTTTTGTTTCTTTGTAAAAAATCAGGTGTTCATAAGTGTGTAGATTAATATCTGGGTCTTTGATTCAGTTCCTTTGGTCCTCCTAGCTGGCAAAACAGCCAGCCACTGGCTCTTACCTTGACCTCAGTCTGAAATGGCGATCCTGCCTCCCAGAATCTCAGAATGAGCCTGTGTTGTTGAGAGCTATTTCCTCCCGTTTTATAATCTTCTTTAGGACTGGGACTAAAGGCATGCACCACCATGATTAAAGGCATGCACTGCTCAGTTTCTATGGCAACTAGTATGGCTACTGGGATTAAAAGTGTCTGTCATTATGGCTCCTGGAATTAAAGGTGTGTGTTACCATAACCTGGTCTGTAAGGCTGACCAGTGGGGCTGTTTTACTTTTAGATCTTCAGGCAAGCTTTATTTATTAAAGTACAATTGAAATGCCACTACATTGTCCCATATTTTCTTGGACATTTTGTGTTAAGAATTTATTGGATTTAATATTTTCTTTGAGCAATGCATCTATTTCCTTTACCGTATCTCTAACTCCCGAGAGTTTCTCTTCCATCTCTTGCGTTCTATTGGTTATGTTTGCATCTGATTGTTTACCCAGATTTTCCATTTCCAGATTTCCCTTGGTTTGTGTTTTCTTTATTGCATCTATTTCAGTTTTTAAGTCCTGAACCATTTCATTCACCTGTTTGCTTTCTTTCACTTGGTTTTCTTTAAGGGATTTATTATCTCTTCTAATTTTTTGTTTGTATTTTATTCCATTTCCTTAAGGGAGTTTTTCATTTCCTCTTTAAGGGCCTCAATCATCTTCATAAAATTATTTTTAGTGTTGTTTTTTTCTGCTTCACCTACGTTGGGATGTTCAGGTCTTCTCGTCAAGACCCACTAGTTTCTGGTGGTATTGCTCTTTGTGTTGCTTAGTGTGTTCTTACCTTGTACCCATCTCTTCCTCCAGTCGGCTTGTGCTTCAGAGAGTGTCCCTTCTCCTTCAATTGGTGTGGTTGGGTTGTGGCTCCATAGAGCACTCCTTCAGGTGCAGGCAGGGCCACAGTGCTGATGCTCAGCCCTCAGGTGCATCTCTGGTGACTGCGGCCTAGGTGTAGGTGGGACTGAGGCTGAGGCTCTGATGGCTGAGGTTGGGTAGCTGCTGGAGGCTTGTAGTGATATTCCATTTGTATTATTTTAATAAATAAAGCTTGCCTGAAGATCAGAGAGTAAAACAGCTGCACTGATGTTTTACTGACCAGGCAGTGGTGACATTTACCTTCAATCCCAGTAGCCACACTAGTTGCCATAGAAACCAGGCAGTAGTGGTACACACCTTTAATCCCAGCACTAGAGATGAATATAAAATGGGAAGAGACAGCTCTCAGACACTGTCTCATTCTGAGATTCCTGGAGGCAGGGTCACCATCACCATTTTGGACTGAGGTAGAGGTGAGACTCAGTGGCTGGCTGTTTTGCTTTTATGACCTTCAGGTTGAGCCCCAATATCTGTCTCTGGGTTTTTATTAATAGTGCTATAGATGCTGTCTCCCGGCACAGCCTGGGCCAGCAGCGACTCTTGTTATTTTTTGAGACAGAGTTTCGCTATGTAGCTCAGGTTAGCTTCTACCTTGTAATTCCCCTGCCTCAGTGCTGGGTTCATAAGTAACAATATGGCACAACTCTCAAAAGGAATGAGTTAGACTGATATGAGAAGACGCTGCCGGCATGCTAAGCGAAGGAAGCCAGTTATGAACGTGATCATGTCTACTCTGTGCACATGCATGGAAAATGGGGAAATCTATGCTTCGTGCTGTAGACAATTATCACTTCTAAGAATATATATGGCCATGTGTGGTGGCAAGCGCCTTTAATCTGAGAACTCAGGAGGCAGGGGCAGGTAGATCTCTTTGAGTTTGTGACCAAGTTTCAGGTAAATAGGGCTATGTAAATGAGATTCTATCAAAACAGCAACACAGGAACCTGGGGCTACATTAAGTGAGGTTCTGTCAAAACAATAAAAGAAAAAAAGGAAGGAGGAAGGAAGGAGAAAACAAGCAAATATAGCTAGGCATAATGGTGCAGGCTTAGGACCCCGGTGCTTAGGAGGTGGAGGCGGGAGGGCAGAATTTTAAGGTCACCCTCTGCTGTAGAGTGAGTCAGAGTTTGAGGCCAGACTGGGCTATTTGAGACCCTGTCTCAAAATTAAACCATCAGAAAGTGGTTACGTGGGGGCAGCAGCGGGCTGGAGAAGGTAGGAACCTTGGTAGGCCTAAGAATAGTCTTGGGTGGGTTTTAAGGATGATGTTGAGTTGGGCAAGGTCAGTGAGGCAGCCAGCTGTAGCCTTTTTAACACTCTGGCCGTATATGCCCCTCCCCTTACCTGGGCCCGTTCCGGGGTAGGAGGGCAGCTTTCATTTTCTGTGAGTTCCCTGAGCTTTTCTCAGCTCCAACTCAACCCCCTCTCGTAGGGGCAGATTTAGCCACTAGCCACAGTGCTTGAAGCCCAGTCAGGCCTTGAACTCTTGATCCTCCTGCCTCTCTTAATGGTGTGCATTAAGAGCACTGCCTGCTCTTCCACAGGTCCTGAGTTCAATTCCCAGCAACCACATGGTGGTTCACAACCATCTGTAATGAGATCTGGTGCTCTCTTGAGGAAGAGACCTGGCCAGTCGTCCTTATCAACTTAGACCATGAAACCCAATATGGACAAGTTCAACAGAACCACCATATATGGGCTGCCCATGCATGCTTCAGCATTGCCAGGGCATAAATTAATTTCTTTCTTTCTTTCTTTCTTTCTTTCTTTCTTTCTTTCTTTCTTTCTTTCTTTCACAGTGATTAGGGTCCAGAATGCATTTAGGGATCCACGAAGTGTTTCAGTTTAAGATCTGAAGAAATGAATGGAGCCAGAATGGTCACCTTCATGCCCACGTGATCGGAACATTGTTGCTGTAGCCCAGGTTGGCCTCCAACTCTCCATGTAATTGATGATGTGAATGTCTCATTTTGTGTCTGTCTCCTGAATGCTAGAATTACTGGCTTGTGCTGTCTATCATGTCCATTTTACCTGGCCTTGTGCGTGCCAGGCCCATGCTACTGACTGAACTCTCCCCAGCTCTTAAATTTTTCTTCTTTTCTTTTTAAAAATTAAAACTTAAAAATTTCTATGGGTTTTTGCTGCATGTATGTCTGTGTATCACGCATGTGGCTGGTATGCTCAGAGTCTTCCAGAACTGAAATTACACACTGTGTGGAGCTGATGAGGAACTTGAGTCACTGTGGGGAATTGAACCCAGGTCCCAAGGATGAGCAGAATCCCTAACCACTGAACCATCTCTTCAGTCCCCCCTTTCTTTTCTTTTCCTTTTCTCTTTCTTTCTTTAAAAAAAATCATAATTTATTTACTTTATTTTATGTGCAACGATGGGAAGGTGTCAGATGCCCAGGAACTGGATTTATGGACACTTATGAGCTGCCATGTGGGTACTGGGAATTGAACTCAGGTCCTCTGGAAGAGCAGCCAGTGCTCTTAACCGCCCAGCCATTCCCTTTCTTTTTTATTTCTTTTCTTTTCTTTTATTTCTTTCTTTCTTTCTCTTTCTTTCTTTCTTTCTTTCTTTCTTTCTTTCTTTCTTTCTCTTGAGACAGGGTTTGTCCTGGAACTTGCTCTGTAGACCAGGCTGGCCTTGAACTCACAGAGACCTGCCTCCTGCCTGTTTCTGCCTCACAAGTGCTGGAATTAAAGGCGTGCGCCACCAACACCCTGCTTCCCCTCTTTCTGTTTTTGGGACTTTCTTTTTTTGTAGTCCTGGCTGGCCTGAAACTTGCTATGTAGACCAGGCTGCCTCTGCCTTGGGACGAGCCAAAGTCACCTTCTAGCTTCTACTCCCATCACCACCTCAGCCTACCGTCTTTGTTTCCCAGGCCCCTTCGACCTTCCCGTGGTTTGGCTCATGCTGAGGAGCTGCGTGTGACATGTCCTTCCTTCAACGGGGTCAGCTGTCACTGACTCCTTTACTAGCACATCCTGGGACTCGCTGACATTTTGAGTGGGAGACCGTGGGGGAAGGCCCACCTCACACCTACACACACTTCACTGGCTAGAGGATGCTTGCAGCTAAGTGACGGCGGCTCTGCTAGGACAGTGTAGTTCTTCCCAATCTGTTTCAGCCAGAACAGAGAGAGTGGAGCCCAATACAACGTCCTCTACCAATACCATCAAACCTTTATTTCCGCTGGGTCCGCATGTCTTTCTTCCCTTCCCCAACCCTGGATCATAGCTTGACCAGTTCCGCTTCCTTTGGCTAGTGCACCCCTGACTCTCCCAAGGAAAGCGGGAGACTTCCTGCCAAGTGCAGTTGCATGGACCATGGGGCAGCTGTGATCCCACGGCTCCCTCGTGTGGTGACAACTTGCTACTGAAGCCCTCCAAAGCCTTGCTGGACATTTCTATTTTCTTCCAGGCCGAACAGTGGGGTCCAAGTTGATTGGAGTAGGGTTGGCATTCTCATGTCAGCTCCACCCTAGGCGCTTGAACAAGGACAGCTGGTGGCGTTCGTCCTCCAGTCTTCTGCACACCGTCCCTGATCCCTCAGACTTGCTAGGACTCTGATTAGTGTTATCTGGGGTTTGGTCTCAGAGCTACCAAATATCTTGCCAGGTGACCTTGGGCAAATACCTATCTAGCTTCTACTGAAAAACAAATTAAACACTTGGTCTACCATAGTTAGGGACTGCGAGGTGCTGCTCCCAGATTCCCATGCTGTTTTTTATTGCTTTCGAGACAAGGTTGAACTCTGTAGCTCAGTCTGGCCTTGGACTGAAAATGTGTTAGTCTCTAAGTACCAAGACTACAAGCCTGCACCTTCGTGTCTAGTTCTTGCCTTGTTTTTTATCTCATTGTATATGGGTTAGAACAAAGGGGCCAAGGCCTTAAGCCTTGAGACTCACGGATGCCTGAGCCCATGAACTTCTTTCAACACTAACAGCCCAGAATTTTCCATGTGGTCTCCCATCTTGCTAACTGACTTTCTGGAGGCCAGCCAGCCAGAATGGTCAGAGGGGGCCAAGAACCAGCAAGGCTGGCAGTGCATGGTCTAGTGTTGTGTGCTGGATGGAGCCCTGGTTCAGCACCAAAGACAGGGCCTTAGCCCCAGCTTGAGCCACCTGCCAAGTGTGTGACTGCAGAAAGGGCCTTGACTCTGTTTCTGCTCTCCTCTCCTGGCCTTCCTTCTCTCCTGTTTTCTGTGGAGCTAGGGAGTTTCCCAGGGCCTTTCCCTGAACTATATCCCAGCTCAGTCTCAACCTTCTTATTGGTCCAGTGGGGGCTCCTTTCATGTCTCTTCCATGGATAAGTACACAAATGCTGTGGGATAAAGGCACTCTGTGTAAGGCAGGACGATTTGGCACTAGGGTGTGCTAACGACGGAGGGTGGTCTCTGCACGTTCAGTCCCTCTGCAGGGTGAACTTTCAGCTTGCGTTAAAGGCCATTGTCTCTAGAGGATGAGGAAGGCCTTGGGCCAAGAAGTATGTGACCTGCTGGAGGAAAGAAAATGGCGCCAGTGTTGTTGCAAGAAGAAGGCTTAGAAATCCACCTCTCGGGCCTCCAGAGGAGCCGGGGAGAAGCCATCCAGATGCTTGGTGACACCATGTCCTGAGGGGCTTGTTGAATTTGCACTGGGGTTGACCCCAGACCTAGACAAATAGCCAGAGCTGGCGGGGGTCACTGGGGTTACAGGGCGCCATGGCTGGCTTTTTGTCCTGGGTTATCAGGCAGGTGCCTGATCCTGAGTTTCTGATGAGCTGATCCTAAAAGGCAAAACAGTGGAGGGTCAGCCTGGGGACCACGGGACAAGGGCAGCTGACAAAAGACAACACAGTGGAGGGTCAGTTTGGGGACCACGGGACAAGGGCAGCTGACAAAAGACAACACAGTGGAGGGTCAGTTTGGGGACCACGAGACAAGCGCAGCTGACAAAAGGAAAAGGAAACCGGGCAAGCTACAGAGAGGATACTGCCACGTCCTTCCCGAAGATCCATGCACCACGGCAGCCTGGTGGCGGTCACTAAAGACTGTAAGACCGTGGCTGATCGAAAAAAACAAAAAACAATACTTTCAGGGCCTCCCTTTCTCCAGGGTGGCCAGGTTCAAAAACTTGGGGTCATAGCTGCCTTTCCTCCCTTTTCTGTTTCTGGCAGAAACTTTGGCTCTATCCTTTCTGGTAGCTTCATGGTTAGACCATTATTTATTTCTGAGCAGCTCACCGAAGTGAGTAGAGCTCGGGCTTGGTGAGGAGAGTGGCTACCGCCCACCTCGCGCCCCTGGACTCCCAGAGACTCTACCGCCCACCTCGCGCCCCTGGACTCCCAGAGACTCTACCGCCCACCTCGCGCCCCTGGACTCCCAGAGACTCTACCGCCCACCTCGCGCCCCTGGACTCCCAGAGATTCTACCGCCCACCTCATGCGGTGTGGTGGGAGGGACAGACCCTGAACTCGCAGAGACTCAGGGAGGCCTGAAGCTTGGGCCAGACAAGTTTGTTGAATTTCATCTGACTACTTGGTAGAAATGCGGACATTGTCCTTTGGGACGGAGCCCCTAAACGATTAAGAGAGACGATGCCTGAGCATTGCTTAGCACCTAGCATGCGAGGCAGGGGAGCACCATGAATGTCTCTTCACCTGTTTGGATTCAGCCTTAAAATGCGCCACGGCAGAAGGGCCCAGACATGACCAGACACGGACCGACTCCACAGCCACTGTGCCTTCCACTCTGGACTCATGGTCCCGCGCTTTCTGGGCCACTGACTTACCTGCGTCAACTCCCATTCCTCGTCCTTGGGCACTTCGCTGTTTTTGCCAGTGAACCGACAGCTCCTGAGGCCCAGCGTGCTAGCGCTGGCGTGTAGACACAGCTGCTTCCCAATGTTGTGGCGAAGGTCCCTCTGGGATGTGTACTCAAAGTACTGCAAGTCAAGACAAAAATGTTCTCTGGGGCAGGGGAGGCAGCTTCCCTGCTACCGCCCAAAGCCACTTGCCCGACAGCGCCAACTAGAGGACTTCCTGGGGAGGAGGTGGGAATGTGCTGCTACTTTTGGTGATTTGTGTCGCTGCAGTGATTGCTGCCACAAGACGTTATACTGGATTGACAGTGCTTAGAACTATAAATTATTTGCACTAAAATTGAACTATAAATTAAAATTCACCTTAGCCTTATATATATAAACACCACCTATGCGGTCATATGCTGGAACACTACATTTTTGTGTGTGACATGGATTCTTGTTTTGTAGCCAAGGCTGGCTTAGATTTCTGTCATGTAGACCAGGCTGGTCTCAAACTCATGACCAGCCTTTCAACTACTAGAACATTGTGCCATCCAGCCCATGGCATATGCCATCACAGTCACCTGCTGGTTCTAGGTTGACATAAAAGATATTCACCAATGGACCACCTAAAAGGGCTTTGCTTGCATCTGCAAGTCTCTGCAGTCAGTTCCGGCTACCCCTTCATCTTGTGTACCAGATCTGGGTACCGGATATCTGAGGGATGGGATAGGAGCATGCTGGTTGGTTTTGTTATCTAGAAACAAACTAGGGCCATCTGGAAGAAGAATCTCAACTGAGAAAATGCCACCATCAGATTGGCCCGATGAAGGCCGGTATAGGCAAGGGTGCAGGGCATATTTTGGTTAATGAGAAGGCCCAGCCCACTGTGGGAGGTGGCGCTCCTGTGTCCTGGTGGGGAGGAAGCCGGCTGAACGCGAGCAGGAGAGCAAGCCAGTTAGCACTGGTTTCCTAAGGCCTTTGCTTCAGTTCCTGTCTCCACATTCCTGCCCTGCTTCCTTCAGTGATAGACGGTGATGTAGAAGCAAAAACCAAACCTGTCACCCAGTGGTGGTGCACGCCTTTAATCCCAGCACTCAGGAGGCAGAGGCAGGAGGCCAGCCTGGTCTACATAGCATGTGCCAGGACTACATGGGGAACCCCCGTGTCTAAAAACCCTTTCCTGGTGTTTTAACACAGCAACAGAACACAAACTAAGGCAGAGGCGTACAAGTTACCCTCAGGGATGTGCCGGGGCACTGGGGCATAGGGACGTCTCCAGGGTGTCGGTAGGTGGCTGTTTGGGGGTCACTACTAGAGGTGGAGTCAAAGCGGTATTTTCTGGCCAGGGGAGCATTAAGGATAAAAGCTGAGTATAGGTGAAAGAGAATGCCTGGCAACTCTCCACAGCCCTCTCTGTTGGCAGCTCCCCTCATCCTCTAGTGCCCAGCATGATGCCAGCCCTGTGGCCCACTTCATGTGTGAGTCATTCAGCCTGGCTGCTTCCTGCCACAAGGGTGAATCCTCCCTCCACATGGCCTCTGTTGCAGAACTATTCAGAATAGAGAAAGGGGGCCCGTGGGAAGAGGAGGTGCCTCAGAGATGGGCTCCTGTCGGGTCTACACGGGGTAAGCATGTTTTATCTACCTGATTGCCACCAAGGTTGTGGCAGACATACATGATGAGAGGCTTCCCTCCATGGTTGTTCTCGCCCACATCCAAACACTGGTTGGTGCCAAGATTCTTGATCTGCACAAAGGTGAGCAGAGGGGAAGCAGGATAGCTCAGCTGGGTATGGGCACCACTGGAATGGCCTTTCCACTCTGGGCATGAACCAGATGCCTGGAGCTAATAGCAAGGTGTGGCAGAAAAGCCCCAAGGATGGGCAGGGCAGGGTGCCCTTTGTAGGGAAAGATGAGCAGGCCTTTAGGATGCCAGGCCTTGAGAGGTCCTTAGCACACAGGAGCTACCCTCACCATCACCTGGGACTTGTCCATGTCTGGATGGAAACAGTGCGGATGGGGCCCAGTGATGCGTATTACCACACCTTCCTGGGTATTCTCCCAGACTCAGCCCTTGAGAATCACTCCTCACGGATTGCCCCCTTTATCAGGATTTTAACTATTTGAGGAAGCCCCCAGTTGTCTCCCCATCCTCTCGGCTTGGCTGCTCCTGGGCTGCGTGGTCTTAACTTCTTTTGGGGTACCATGGTGGTGGGTAAGCTAACTCACGGCTCCATAGAAGGTGGGGTTCAGGTCAGGGACAAACATCTCCGGGTAGACATTGTGCAGGTACCAGGAAAAGTTGTGGCAGTGTAGCTGCTCCCTCAGCTGCAGTCGCTCCGAAATGTCACCGAAATTATTCTGTCAACCAAGTCAGTCCCCTAAAAGGTGAGTGACACAGCCCAGGTCTTCCTGTCTGGGTTGAGCAGCCCAGACAATATGGAACACTGACGCCACTCTCCCCGGCTCATCATGGCTACAGGCTCAGCCTCATATCTAATACCTGACCTCTTGCCTTACCTTGGGGACCTCATTACCTCACAACACTCCCTCACGTCCTGTGACTCCCCCGTGAGCCTGTCAGAGCCGTTCCTCCAGTGATGGGTTCTCCTTCCTATCTCTTTCCTTCCCCTCCCTGGAGGCACAACCAAGGCTCCCCCAGCCCTCTAGCTTCAGAGCCCTGTGTTCACGGGGCTCGCTTATAGAGTTCTGAGGAATGAAGGGAGGCAGAGGGGTAGAGATGTGATGACCCTGCCAATGGGCAGCAGACCAGGGGCCTGGAATTCCATGATTCCCTCACCAGGCACTGACATCTTACCTCCTGCACCATCTTTGCTGCCTGGAGATTTCTCCTGTAGAAAAGCTTCTTGTAGCTGTCCATCCAGACCTCAGCCAGGCGCACCTGATTGCGTGCAATGACACTGGTGCCCTTGGGGAAGGTATGGGGACTCTTGGTACGGAACACGTGGCCCACCACAGAGCAGGGGATGATCTCCAGCTGGCCTCCACACTGCCATACCTGACATGAAAGAAGACAGGATGGGGCCTTCAGGAGGCTGGATGGCAAGTCCCTCCAAGCAGTTCTGTTCAGTCCCCAGAACACCACAGCCCTGGTCCTTGGATGGAAACATATGTTGCCTTTCCATCCCTGAAGAAAGAGACATTGGCGGGCTTCCCCCTATGGCGCAGCTACCCATGTCCAGGCTGTCTGTGCCGCTTGCTCTGGATTAGTGGATGTGGTGTGCAGTCCTGAGTCACCAGGGCTCATGCCAGAGACGAGACGGTTGCTTACTTCTGTGCTATGGCTTACTCTCAGCTCTGGGTTCTTGGCTTTCTGAGACATGGACGCTTTCCCAGGGGTTACAGAACAGCTGGCCTCCCCTATACCAGAGCACCAGTCAGTGGCCCATGACCACTGGGCCTTGAGCATGCCAGCTTCCCAGGAGAGATACTGGATCTGGGTCAGAGGCTCACCAAAAGTGAGAACCAGATACTGGCTGGTGGCCCTTCTCTGTGCTAGCTGCTGGCTGGAGACAACCCTCCCACTGGGCTCTTTGGGTCCTGTTTTGGGAGGCACCTGCTATTCACTTATATACGGCAGCAACAGAAATCCACAGCCACAGCTACAGGAACATCAGACGGCAATTATGTGCCTGATGCACGCCAGGTACCGAGTTACTCTCTCACTAGCGGGTTTCAGAGGCAATCCTTCCTAACCTGTCTGGATTTGCCTCATTCTCAGAATTCCTCAGAGTTCTGCCTCCATCAGAACCAGGTCCCACCTCTCCTCTCGCTTAGGAAGAGCTTGTTGAAAACCCAAAGGCCCCCAGGGCAGGTGTCCTTTGAGATGGGGAAAGGAGCCTGATTTTTACAAACTGGAGGGGGTAAACTGGTTCCTGACCCGTTTTCACCTTCACTGAGACCATTTCCCACATTCTTCATAAAACAGCCGATACCTGAGTTCAATCCTTACTGCTCCCACAATCCCTTCCCTCTTAGAAGTTCTTCCCTGGGATTTGGTTCAAGCTATCGGTCTCAGCTCCAGAGAGTCCTACTGCCCTCACCGGGAGCCAGGGCAGAAAGCAGATATCCTTTCAAGTCCATTCCAACATGACATCCTCGAAGGTACCAATGCCTGATAGACAGCTTGTCATCCTCCTCCCTCCCCGGCTCCATGTTGAGGTTTGCTTGTCATCCCCCACCCCTTCCCCTTCAAAGCTCTCTCCATTCTCACCCGGAAGGACATTTCCACATTCTCCCCTCCCCAGATCTCCATCTGGCTGTCATAGGTTCCGATGTGCTCAAAGTAGGCCTTGGAGATGGAGAAGAGGCCACCAGCAAACGTCGGGGATCTGGAGAGGCAGAGGCAGGGAGAGGCACATGTACCATGCCGTCAAATGAAGGCAGGGAGACACAGACCCAAGTAAAGACTGGGCCAGTGTAGCAAGGAGACGTCACAGAAGTCTGGGGAAGTGGGGTCCTGCTCTTGTCTCCCCGATGCCACATTCACATTCTAGGAGGAATTTCAGTTGAGAAGCCACCATGCTCGGACTGGGTTCCTGTCACTCCTTCTGTCTTTAAGGGGTCCTAAGGCAGCCCAAGTAGCCCCAGGCAGCTCCGAAAGCCCGAGAGCTCCAGATGAAGCGCTGAGGTGGACCTGCATTTGAGGATACCTGAGAGGTGCCCAGACTGGGGGAATCGCTGACAAACTGGCCATGAAGACAAACGCCACTCAGAAACACCACTGTAGACTCATCTCAACAGGTAGTCTCTAGAAAATGCCTGTATATCCTGGCCTGCTTCCTGGGACCCTGTGTCCCTTAGCTCTCCTCTCAGGCATCTCTGTGAGAATGAGGACGAGTTACCAGTGTTGAAGGACCACCGTATGAAGTGTGTGCTGCCAGGGCACCTGAACCCAGTGCACATTCACCCCTCAAACACTGGAGCTTTGTTCTCCCGCTGGACGGTCTTACGTTAGTGAGGGGTGGGGGCCAGGTGCCCTGCCCGTGCTGCTGTGTGCCTGGTCCCGGCCTGGGTGGAGTGCGGGTTTGTTGTTATACATGCCAAACAAAGGCTCCTATGAGACAAACAGAGTCAGCAGGGAGTGTAGATTTCTTCCTCTGTCTTCTCTTTCCCCTCTTCTTTTTTTTTTCTCAAGATGAGAGGTCTTTCTCGATAGTCCAGGCTTTCCTGGAACTTTGTGGCTCAGGCTAGCCTAAAATCTGTAATGATCTGGGCAGGAGAACACGGCTCAGATGGCTCAGCAGGGAAGGCGCTACACAAGTGTGAGGGCCTGAGTTCAGATCCTGAAACCCTGGGTAATCCAGGTGGACATGACAACTTGCCTGCTCCTTGGTCTCAGAGACAGGACCCCAGGACAGGCTGGCTAGCCATCCCAGCTGTGTTGGTGAGTCCTAGGTTAAACCGGGAGACAGTGCCTCAATGAACGAGGTGGAAGATCCCAACACCATCCTTGGAAACATGAACACACAAGCAGAAGCACTCACCTGCACATGTGCCCACAACACATGCAAAAACATGTGCATATGCATGCACCTGTACACACATCTGCACATGTCCGCACACCTGTACACACATCTGCACACCTGTACACACATCTGCACACATCTGCCCACCTGTACACACATCTGCACACACACACACACACACACACACACACACACACACTACAAAAAGAAACAAAAGTCCTGCAATCTGTAGAGGCTGGGCAGGCAGGGAGCGAGAGGCAAGCCTCCGTAGGCTTTAAGCACATTAGCTGTCAGCTACCTAGCCTGCTTGCTGTCAGAAGACTATGGCTGTGGTTCCCAACCTGCGGATCATGACCCCTTTGGGATGGCATATTAGATATTTACATTGAAATTCATAACAGTAGCAAAATTACAGTTGTGAAGTAGCAACAAAAAGAATGCTATGGTTGGGGTCACCACGACATGAGAAACTGTATTAAAGGGTTGCAGCTTGAGGAAGGTTGAGAATTAGTGCTCTATGGTAAAACATGGTTTTTACTCTTTTTTCACAGGCTCTCTTCAAGGCAGGCCTGAGCTGGCTAGCCAAGGATAACTTGAACTTCTCGTATTGTTTTCTCTTCTGAAGGTGGGGTTTCAGATGTGTACGGCCAGGATCAGTTTGATTTTCACATTTTGAAGCAACGATAAAAAACCCCAAATCTACCCCCCCCCCCCCCCCGCCAAATAAGAGAACACCAGTAGGCTATCTGTGGTGGCTGGCGGAGTTAGACAGTTCTGATGTGTCTCATTAATGAAAAGTGCACGGCAGCTGAAGCCTCAAACTGAAGCACACAGCCTGTGCTTGCTCCTTTTCCCTCTCCCCACCCTGCCCTGCTTCAGACTGAACCTAGGCCTCTGTACAGGCTGGGCAAGAGCTCTCCCATTGAGCGCTGACACATGTCACGGCGCCTCAGACATTCTCCCTGGATTTCCCAGGCTGGCCCTGAATGCACTGTAGCCCAGACAGTCCCTGAATTTGTGATCCTCTTGTCTCGGCGTCCTGAGGGGCTCGGATTATGTGCTGGATAGTTTGAGCTAACATCCTCTGAGAGGGGAAGCTGCAATTGGGAAAATGCCTCCATAACATCGAACTGTTGGTGAGCCTACGGCATTTTCTTAGTTCGTGAATAATGGAGGAGGGCCATTGGGGTACAGTCCATTTTGGGGAGTACCATCCCTGGGCTGGTGGGCCTGGGTTCTATAAGAAAGAAAGCTGGGCAAGCTATGTGAAGCAAGCCAGTAAGTAGCACCCCTCCATGGTCTCTGCATCAGCTCCTGCCTCCAGGTTCCTGCCCTGTTTGCGATCCCGCCCTGGTTTCCTTCTATGATGGACTAGGATGCAGACGCATAAGCCACATAAATTCTTTCCTCTCCGCCTTGTTTTTGGACTTGGTATTTCATTGCAGCAATAGCAACCCTGACTAAGACAGAGTACAAGCATGCACCACTGGGTCCAGCACCTGTTTCCTTTCTCTGAGTCTTTCCCGAGACAGTAACCTGGGAGCCTGGGAGCCCATGCCATAGCTACCTATTACAATGATTGTTCAGCAATGACCACACAGCGTCCCTCACCTGCTCTGCAAGCAGAGGCCTTGGCCTCCTAGATATAGGAGCAAAGAGTGAGGTGGAGGTGCACAGGCTGGCAGACGGCCAGTAGTAAGCAGGAGCAAGCTATCACAGTGTGAGGCGGTAGGGTCCACGCTGGGCACACAGGTCGTCTACCCTGTGCTAGCTGCAGGGTCCGAAGTTAGCTGCTTACCGCCTTGGCTTTGCAGTCTCACTTGTAAAACAGGCTAACAAAAGGACCTATCTCACAGGGACTGTGGCTTGATAAAGCACCTAGCGGATGTTGGTGTGGGATGGTACAGGTCCCCCGGAGCTTAGTGGGCAGAGGCCAGGGTGGGGGCTCAGCAGGGTGCAGTCCTTACTTGATGGGGTACGTCTCATCCTTGCGCCTCTGTTTCTCGTGTTCAGGAAGCAATTCCCAGCCGAAGGTCAGGCTCCAGTCAAAGTTGCCACGGCTGTGGGCTTTGCCTTTCTGTGAAGGTCTGGAGAACCTGAACGTGTTAAGGTCGATGGTGACGATGTCTGGGCTCACCACCACTGTCTTATCTTCAGCGATGCGAGCCAGGAGGGGCTCCAGCCAGCCGTGGAAGCACTCACCTGAAGACCCGGACCAGAAGGTGGAGGTCAGGGGCCCAGGCATAGATGATCCTCTAGCCTCAGAGGAGGCCCAGGGCGGGGGGTGGGGGGTGGGCACATAGAATCCCTGAAGCCTCTTCCTCCACCTCCTGAAAGGTGGTTGTGGCTTTGCAAGGGGGACGCTAGGTTTTGGGGGAGCAACCTGGTCAGCATAAATCAGACGCTAACTCCCAGAGACCTGAAGCCCATGTCCTCAGGGTTTCCACCCCCACATGAATGTGGCTTCAGAACGGCTCTCTGTCCTCCAGGGCATACGCATGTCAACGCCCAGCTCTTACTGTGGAGCTGCTCTCCCCCAGGCGTGGGATCTTCTTTCTTTCTTCTCTATCCTCCTGAGAGCTTTGCTATGCAGTCTCCACTGACTGAAACTCTCTATACTGTCCACTAAGTGGACTGGCCTCAAACCTACAGTGATCCCCCTGCCTCTGCCACCAAATGCTGAGGCACATGTCACCACACCTAGACAGTTTTGACTTTAAATGAACATAGGTTCTACATTACTTCATTTTTTAGATTTATTTATTTTACTTTATGTATCTGAGTGTTCTGTCTGCTTGTATATCTGTGTGCCTTTTGCCTGCAAGGTCAGAAAAGGGGATTCGATCACCTAGAACTGGAGTTATGGATGGTTGTGAGCCACTATGTGGGTGCTGGGATTAAAACCTTAGTTCTCTGCAAGTGTTCTTAACCTTTAAGCCATTTTTGGACCCCTATTTTATTTTATTTTGTTTTATTTTAATGATATCTTGTTAGGTAAGTCAGGAAACTGAGGCCGAGCCAGATGGGAACTTGGGTTCCTGGTACCAGTTCAGAGTTTTCTGGGTTCTATTCTTCTTTCAGGAAAAGTCAAGGGGGAGCCCTTTTAAACTCCACATAGCCCTATAGAAAAATCCCAGACAGGAGCGTTCCTAGTGGGGACAGGGGTTCCTCTTAGGTCCACACAAGTGAAGGGTAAGTGACCATTGGAGTGGGGACAGTGGTTTCTCTTGGGCCCACACATCGGAGTCACTGCCAGCTGTCCCGAGTCACCAAGCCTCATGGTTATGCTCTCTCAGGAACCATGCCTGGAGTCAGTGTAAGGAAGGGGCAAAAATGGAAGAGCACCACACCTCTTTACTTCTGAAACAGGACAGGACAGCCTCAGCCCTTCCTCATCTGCCAGTGGTGAAGGCCAGGTATCCATCTAGACCTCCACCGGGCAGGCATCTGCTACTCACAGTGGGCATCCAGGAACGTGAGCACCTCAGCCTGCGCCACGCTCGCTCCCAGCAGCCGGGCTGTAATGAGGCCTTTCCGCTCCGGCTGCCGCACCACCCTGACGATTTGCAGCTGCTGGACGTACTGCTCCAGCCTCTCCTTCAGGTATTCTGGAAGGGACAAGGCCACTGTTACCAGCTCCTCACTAATCCCTTGTGGGCACCATGCCCAGGTACTCCCAGGTCTTCAGCAGGTCTGAATGCCAACCCCTCCCACACACCTGTACAGATCCCTTACACAGGATGCGAAAGGCAGAGAGAGGAGACATGCAGGGAGGAAGCCCTGCCTGAGGCCTGTCATTAGGGTCCTGGTCATCCTGCCTCCGCCTCCCCTCTCCAGTGCTGGGCATGCCCAAGAAGAACACATGTTCTTCATAAGAGAACACTATATATAAAAGAACTGTGGACCCATGCCCACAGGCTTGCACAAGCTAGGGACTAACTACAGCAGGGAGCATGGCAGATGTGAGCCTGTGTCTTAAGAACAGACTGCCTGGGGGCAAGACATCATGACAATCACAGTAGGTGGTGGACAACCTGCCAGGGCTAGTGCAGACCCAACAGGAGCCTGCAGAAGGGAGGACCCCTCTGCTAGAGCAGGGAGGATCCTTCAGCAGAGCAGCGGCTCCTCCTGAGGGAGCATCTTGCCTCCTTCCTCTCAGCTGTGCTGTCTCTTCTGCTCCATGCACAGACCAAGCCTCGGGGACTTCTCTCGGGGCTTCCCTTTGTAAGGAACACCTGGAGAGGCTCCTTCTGGCTATAGCGTGTAGTGCTCCCTAAGGGCCCTGGGATTCCACCTAAAATCCTCAGGACATCTAAACTAGTTTTATTTTGAAGGATCCCATCTTGAAACATCAATTATCTTTATATTTTAATGTATTTTTGTTGATGAGTTTCACTGTCTTGGCTGCCTTTGGAACTCACTATGTAGCCCAGGCTGACCTCGAACTCACAGACAGCCACCTGCCTCTGCCTCCCGAGTGCTAGGATTAAAGGTGTGTGCCACCACCACTCCTGGTTTACTATTCTGTTTTTAAAATAAAGAAAAAAAGATTTTGTGTTTTTAAATTACGCATATGTCTGTGTGTCTGTGCAGTGTTGCAGGCCCGGAGGATGTCAGGCTCGCTGCAGCTGGAGTTAGAGGCAGGGTTGAGCCACCCAGTGGCCAAATTGGGTCTCTGGACGAGCTGTGCACGCTCTTAACTCCAGAGTCTCTCTCCAGCTCTCTCTCCTGTTCCTAACTGTGTGAAATGGAGGCGCTTGTAGTTTTAGGAGTGGAAAACAATTCTGGCAACTGTGTTCTTCCCTCCAACTGTGGCTCACACTGGGCCTTCTCTGGATACTGCATTTTATAAATCATAGGCCCTGAAAACAATTTATTGGGCTGTCACTGATAGCAACCCCCCCCCCACACACACACACACATACACCTGTCATGTGCCAGTCACTAAAGCAGGTGACATCGTGCCTGTTTACCCCAGGGTTAACAGATGGAAAGTCAAGACTGGGATGGGAGCCCAGGTCACCCCAGCAGACCCTATGGTGGCACCGGGGTCCTAAGCAGCCTGTGTGTGAAGACTTATCTCCTCTAAGCTCTGAAGTCACCTACTAGGACTTGAGGGGTGTGAGTTTCTTGGGGTGAGGGTGTTTCTTGGTCCCCTTTGTTATCCACTGTCTTGCTGCTTCCCCTGTGAGACCCCAGGAGTTCACTGCTAGGGAGATCAGAGCCTGGGGGAAAGAAACTAAGCTTCGAAAGTGACCTCCTGGTCTTTCTTTTTCAGTCCTTCTGGTAGGCAAGTGATCCTGACCCACTGCCCTTGCGAATGACACCCTCCAGGAAGGCACCTGAGAGGGAGGCCTGTCTTGTTTCAGAAATGGAGCCTCTTATCTTTGGTGTCAGAACCTGCCTGTTCCAATGTAGTCTCACGTCAGCAGTGACTTAGTGTTTGCAATGCACTGTCCAGGGGCGGGACAGGGAGTGTCTGTCACCACCACGGGATATGTGAGCCCCAGCCTGGCCACCACGGGACATGTGAGCCCCAGCCTGGCCCCTGCCAGGTGTTGCTGACAGGAAGGAGGAGCCCAACTGTGATGTCACCTTCTCAGCAGCTCAGCTGAGGTCTCCAGAGACCCTGCTCTCTCACGGGAAGCTCATGGTAGAGATAACCATGGCAAGCCTCACAGGAAGTGGGTTGTGTGGTAAGACAGTGAGAGGCGCTAAGCTGTGACTTCCAGGGCCCTGTGCTCTAGAGTTCTCCCACGCCTTCCTTCCAGTCTCAGTGGGCCAGGCTGGGGGCTCCTGGTTTTGGGCCTCAGGTCCTTGCACGAAAGTCAGACAACGCCCCACATCATCCACCGTCTGTCCCACCTCTGGGTTACTGGACATAGGACCCAAGGCTGTGTCTAGAGACAGGCATGTGCTCTCAGGTCCCGCCAATGACAGTTTGTGACTTTATCACTCACCAGGATGAGAGTCCACAAGACAGGCAAATCCCTCTCCTCTGCCCCCTGCAGCCCACAGGTCACAATGCTTCTGTGACTGACAGCTCCAAGGTTTTCCTCCAGCCTTGCAGAGCCCTGCACCTCAGTGCAAGTCTGCAATCCCAGCCTCACCTCGTGGCCTCTACACCAGCAACCCTTTAGCCACTCCGTCCTGGTGCCAATCTGGGTTCTCTCTGCCTTTTCCCTTCTTTAAATCTTCATTGTCAACTCAACAGCAAGCTGTCACTCCAGGTATCACAGCCAGCTGTTCTCCCAGCCACTCCTCCATACTTTCCCAGAATGTTCTAGATATGGAGCTGTATTTAATCCCAGCACTCAGGAGGCAGAGGCAGGTGGTTCTCTGAGTTTGAGACTAACCTGGTCTACAGAGAGAGTTCCAGGATAGTCAGGACTACATGGAGAAACCTTGTCTTGAAAAACAAAACAAACCACACACACACACACACACACACACACACGCACGCACGCACGCACGCAGTTTCTTTTCTCTCTCTATGTTCGATGATGATGGAGGCAGAGCTCACGGCCTCAAGCATGCTAGGTAAATGTTCTACCACTGAGCAATGCCCTAACCCCAAATCTCCCCACCACTTTCTCTCCTGGGTCTCTAATCCAGGCTAGCCTCAAACTCTTAATTTTTTCTTTCATCTTCTGAGTTTCTAATTAAAAAATTATTTTATGTGTATGGTGTTTCACCTGCATGTATGTCTGTACATTACATATGTGTGGTGCCTATGTAGTCAGAAGAGGGTGTCGGATCCCTAGAATTGGAGTGACAGACAGCTGTGACCCACCAGGTGGGTGCTGGGAACTGAACCCGGGTCCTCTGAAAGAGCAGCCAATGCTCTTCAGTGTTATGCCATCCTTCCAGCCCTTGGCATCTCTGAGGATGACCTTGAACTTCTGATCCTCCTGTATTCATTCACTTGCCATGTGTTGGAATTACAGGCATGTGCCATCATGTGTGACTAATGTCTGCTGTGGGTTGAACACAGGACCTTGTGCGCTAAGCACACACTCAACTAACTGCATTTTATTCTTGTCCGCCTGCTCCTCAGCATTCTCTCTCTCTCTCTCTCTCTCTCTCTCTCTCTCTCTCGCTAAGCTCCTCAGCGTTCTCTCTCTCTCTCTCTCTCTCTCTCTCTCTCTCTCTCGCTAAGCAAACACTCAACTAGCTGTATTTTATTCTTGGCCTCCTCCTGCTCCTCAGCGTTCTCTCTTAAAACTGTAAATCAGATGAACTTTGTTTTTGAAGATGTGGTGTCACTATGGGTCTAGGCTGGACTCAGGCTCACAATTCTGCTACTTTAGTCTACTACAATTAGATAATTTTAATTTCAGAGGTGCATTAAAAACAAATCCAGGGCCAGTGAGATGACTTAGTGAGTGGAGGTGCTTGCTATGAAGGCCTGACAACCTGAGTTCAATTACTGGACCACAGAGTGGAAGGAGAGAACAGTCTCCCCGACAAGTGAAAAGCCCCAAGTTCATGTCTCAGCGCTGGGGGGGGGTGGCACCCAAACCAAACAACAACAAATAAAAAAATAAAAATCCATCACAGATTTATCATAATATAATCTAGCAATTTCACTTCTGGGTATAGATAAAAAAGAATTCAAAACAGGGACTGAAACAGATATTTGTATACCTGTTTATAGCAGGATTAGTCATAAAAGCCACTTGCAAAACCAACATATGAATGCATAAGCAAATGAGGTTTATCATTACCAGGGAATGTTATTCAGCTTGATGCATGCTCCACAGACCAGATCTTGAAAATACTATGGAATGTGAAAGAAGCCAGCCCCCAAAGACAAATGCTATATATGTTATTCACCTATAATAGGAGGAGTAGCCAGAGTGCTCAAATGCAACAGCCAGAAGGCGGGATGCGGGCACCAGGTGCTGGTGCAGACAGCACTGTGGTTTTAACAGGCACCGAGGTGCAACATGGGAAGATGAAGGTCTGCAGATAGCAGTGATGATGTCTGCATGACAGTTTGGATAGATTTAGGGTCAAAGATGGGGCCAGGGAGAGGATTCAGAGGGTCAAAGCACGGTGCTGATGGCATGAATTTGATCTCCAGAACCCGTATTTTAAAAAAAGTCAGGTGTAGGGACATGCATCTGCAATCCCAGACCTCCTGCAGTGAGATGCAAGGCAGAGGCAGGAGAGTCAGAGGAGAAGGGAGAAGTGCCCAAAGTTGTTCTCTGCCCTCCACACATGTACCAGGACATGTACCAGGACATGTGTGGGCCTGTACTCAAACACACGCACACATGCACACACGCACACATGCACATCCACATACGCTAATAACAATTTTGACACAATTTCTCTATTTAGCCCCCCGGCTGGTAGCCTTGACTCGCTTTGAACTTGTTATGTAGACCAGGCTGGCCTCAAATTCACAGAGACTCAGTCCCAAGTGCTGGATTAAGGCAAGTGACATCATAGTTGGCTAAAAGAATTTTTTTTTTTTTAAAGAAGAGAAGGAAAAACATGGTCAAGATTGAGAGGCAGGAGCCTTGCCTATTAGGCACAGGGGCCTAGGCTTGATTCTCAGCTTGATCACACACACACAAACGAACCGTTCATAGATTTCAAA